TGTACCCTAGGTGGGATATCGTGAGCGTAGAGAAAATCGGTCTCAGATTCTGTCACAACGTTTCTGTCGCATCACGAAGACGATGTTTTTTGTGAGCAAGACTGGAATTCTGTCACAGTATCCTTGGTGCTTGGCTTTTTTCTGGCGACCCCCTAGACCCCAATGTTTGGGGAACCTACTTGTGGTGAGCTGCGTCTGTAGAGGTGCATTTCTACAGGGGTTGGAGCCTCTCTCGCGTGTTAGGCAGTGTGCATCATGTCCCACGGACAGCGGTGATTGCCATTTCAGTGTGCATCAGCTCCCACATGATCGTCATTAACGATTAGACCATCGTATTGGTCCGTTCGCATTGGTTGCTGAAAATCTTCGTCTAAACTGAGAACTTACCAGGTTGAACAATGTGGCGTTTGTAATCAATATGATTCTTGCGTTGAAAGGACCTGGAAGGAGTCATCTCAAGCGGGATTTCGTGATCATCACGAGGCATCTATAGAACGCCTGGCACGTTGATAGACGGGGCTGTCGAACGAAGACGTGACGAAGGTCAAAGCAGCAGTCGTCGAGGAGGTGTGGGGGCATGTCAACCAGTCGATCCATCAGTTGGGCGCCCCCGTGGTTTGCAATGGCGAGCCTCCACCGATGAAGTGAACTGCGTTGGCCAGTTATGTTTACCAGTAACATCGTTGCCGTTTTGAAGAATGGCAACCTGCGCCAGTTGGTTGATGGTACAACTGCGGCAAAAGCATCGCTAGAAAGATTAGACTAAATGTTTTTGTTGAAAAGAAATAGTTGAGATCCGAAGTTTGCAGCGTGGCTCTTGCGTGGGCACAATTGCAACGAAGATGGCGACTGCCCTCAGCTAAAGCCTCACCTCAGAAGACCTGGCGAGTTTGTCCGATGCTGCCTAGACGGCTTTTGCGGATGCAGTTGTAGCCAAGACGGGGACTGGCAATAACCTACCCCGAAATCTCCAGCAAAGGAAGCAAGGCCACACTCGAAGACATCGTCAACAATTAGTCTAACCATGAAAAGATCTAAGTCAAGTTAATGCGGCAGTTTCTTAGCTCCTAGTTACCGTCATAATGCGCACAACTCGTTTTCGTCGATCTTCTGCAATGTACCACGCCGTTTAACCACAGCCCTCAAGTGGAGCTGTTGTAGGTGTCGGCAACCGCGGTTGCTGTTTCGAATGGTACTACAGTNCTCCTAGTTACCGTCATAATGCGCACAACTCGTTTTCGTCGATCTTCTGCAATGTACCACGCCGTTTTACCACAGCCCTCAAGTGAAGCTGTGGTAGGTGTCGGCAACCGCGGTTGCTGTTTCGAATGGTACTACAGTAGACTAGTTCACACGAAATCGTTGATCTACTTGCGGGGTGCGTGCGTGCAAAACTATACTTCCACCTGCGTGTTGTGTTGGTGCATATCTACTCTCGAAAAAAATCAGCGGAAGAGCGCATGGATTACTCCTTTGATCAAACACAAAGCTTGTGCCTGGTTTCACGGCTACGTGTGGTCAAAATCCCCCATTCCGGGAGAAAGGCTGCAGCATGAATAGGCAGACCTTGCCGAATTCTTCTTTTCGGGCTCCGCAGCGCTCTCTGCTTAGTGCAAGGAAGGCGTGGCGCTCTTGCGGGCATCAAGATCAACTTGAAGCCCCTGTATATTTGGTCAATGCAAACGAAGAACGAACCAAACCACATGAGGGGGGGAAACAAAGTCATTCGCCAGGAATCATCCGCATGGAACAAGGAACAAGTCCTGCCAGAACTTATGTTGCTACTACACGCGGTGTCGATCGACAGCGGGCACGTGCCGGGGGGTGTTCACGNCATGAGGGGGGGAAACAAAGTCATTCGCCAGGAATCATCCGCATGAGACAAGGAACAAGTCCTGCCAGAACTTATGTTGCGACTACACGCGGTGTCGATCGACAGCGGGCACGTGCCGGGGGGTGTTCACGAGCGAGCGCACAGAGGTTCCGTTCCCACTCGGGCCCGGGTGGAAAATCCCTCCGGTGTGGATCTTCCGCTACAGTACGACAGGCGCGCGAAATCCTACAGCACACTGGAATTCGGCAACAGAAAGCAAGCTACTCGGTTGTCAGACGCTGACCTTGTATCCTCCACGGAAACGGTTGCTTTTCGCGCGTAGCGTGGACACGTACCGGTGGTGCTAAATACAAGAAGGGTGCAAAAGAAAACGGGAATTCCACTGATGCTACTGCTATGGAACATCCCTCTAGTTGAGTCCTGACGCCCCGACAGCCTCTACACCGCCAACCTCACCCGGAAGGGTGCCAACAATCAACACCCGTACGCAATGTAAATTTACAATCTTCGTTTCTATCGCTACGCATCTCTTTTCCAGACTTTCCGTACAGGCACGGCTAAAGCCACAGCGGCCGACGTCCAAACTGATCCCCAGGGACGGGCACAACCATAATCTCAACCACAGAGAGTACAACACGGTAAGAGCGTCTGCAAAACAGTCGCACTGACCACTCAAGCAAGCCTAACACATTGGTTTTCGCGCATATAAAGGCTAGTCCCGCCCCGCTCTGTTCACAACGAGCCTTTTTCATTTCACGGGGCCGCCTTCGCGACGGATTGCGTGGTCTTCAAGAAAAGGTACAAGGTTTTTCACGGTACATAGTCTACAGCAGTAGACTAGTCTCTTGACACAGAAACTTTGCATTTCGGTACAAAGACTAGTCTAATAGTCTACGTTGCATTGAACAGCTCGCGGGGAGAACCACAAGACACACAAGAGGGAGGCACAACGTCAAACCGGGTGCACCTTTAGCGATTCCCGTTTTTGGAGGAGCCCTCGGAGTCTCTTGCCATCCATGGGCTTGGGCAGAGACCCGTCGAAGCCGGTGTCGACTTCGACGACGTTGGCCGACATTGCGTATATCCGCTGGCGGTTCGGTCTGTTCACCGCTTCCCACTTCCTAAACCTGAGTCACGCCGGGAGGTGACGACCGATGAGGAGGGCGAGGGGGGCGGAGGCACTGGGCACCACGTTTCTTGCCATTTCTAGCGGGTTCCTCCGGCACCGAGCATATCTGTCTGGAATTCATCGCCGCGGCTGCGTCTCTTGTTTCGTTTGATTTTCGTGGCTTGGCCCTCCGAACACGTGCTCGTTGCTATTCGTTTCCAGTCGTCCTCCGTTCGTTAGACATCCGTTCGAGGTCGGCTGAAGCTAGAGAAAAACAACGTGTAGGGTCCGACCCGTTTCAAGACCGGTCCGTTCCGGCGGGCTGCGCACGCGTAATGATGGCGGCTTGCTCTTCCATGTAAGCTACACGCGGGACCCCGAGCTAAAAAAAAACAAAACGTAGCTGCAGAGCTCCCTCGAACGTCAACCGGGGGCATATGGCCTTAGAATCTACCAATAAATTCAGCCATCACATATTTACGAGCATCGGGTCCCGGGCCAGCCTTCTCCTCAGCCTAACCCCCCGTGTCAACGTCCACCGTACAACGGCACGCCTCCTCACCTCGCCAAGCACTCCCTCCCGTCCATGACAGGCATCGAGATGTCCATGAGCACGATGTCGTACTCCTTGTTCTTGAGTCTCTCTAGGCCCTCCACACCGTTACACGCGAGGTCGACGTCGTGCTGCTTGAGGAAGTGGCGCATCATCTTCCGGATGGAGGCCGTGTCGTCCACGATCAGGCATGTCCCCCGGGTGGTGTCGCCGCTCTCCCGGAGCGAAACGCTCCGGCCGCTGCCGCTGGGGCTGTCGATATCGATGTCCTTGTCCACTTTCGCCGGGATCAGAACCTGGGTGGAAGTAAAGAGGCCGTTCGGAGTGTGTCAGTCCTCGTCTTTCCAGTCGTAAGCAGCGTACGGCGGTTTGCCCTGTCATGTGTGGAGGAGCAATCCTTATCTCCTCTAGGGATAGGCTCACGGAGCTACATGCTAGGATCCAGCTCGATGTTGGGACAGACTATTGTTCATCGTCCGGACTTGTGTCACGAACGTTGTGTCCGAGATGCCGACGACTTTGGACCATGCTCCCTGAGTGCTTGTGGCCGACGTCTATTATTGCTGCTTACCGTGCCCCACACACAAGGCAAGACAGAAAGGCGTACAAGCTAGCGCGGTGTGCACATGCACGTTGGTACTGTTGTTCACCTCGAAGATAGTACCCCCGCCGGGATTGTCGAAGACCCTGCACGAGCCCCCCAGCGCGTCGACCTTGGTCTTGACCGAGTAAAGCCCGATGCCATGCGAGGCGTGCCCGTACGTCTGGTGGGTCACGTACATGCCGAACACGGCCCCCTTCTTGGAGTCGTCTATCCCGATCCCGGTGTCCTCCACGCGGAGCGAAAGGCGGCCGTCCCGGTAGCCGACGATCACGTTGATGCGGCCCCTGTGCGTGTACTTGGCGGCGTTGGTGACAAGGTTCATGAGGATCTGCCACACCCACTCCACGTCCGTCAGCAACCCCTGTGCGTGTACTTGGCGGCGTTGGTGACAAGGTTCATGAGGATCTGCCACACCCACTCCACGTCCGTCAGCAGGGAGGCGGGGACGCACGCCTGGGCCTGGCAGCGGGCCTCGACGTTCTCGTTCACCAACCTGTTGCACACCTGATTGTTTTTGAGACGGCCGTGTGCAGCAACGGCGGCAGGTTGTTCGACGGGGGGGGGAAGGGCTTGCTTCTCTTTCAGTAGTGGCCCATATGCCAATTGTATTGCTTTTTTTTATGGGTTTGCTCCTAGATGGATAGTGATGTGTGATCAAATCGTTACCCTCGAATAGAGCCATGGTCTAGCCTTCGTCTCGACTCCGAGTCTCGAGCTTTTGGTGAGCCGAGGTGTACAGAAGAGACGGCTGCCGACCAGGGCAACACTGGGCGTTGTACCGGGCGGACAGTGACACGGGGCGTTTTGAGATCAGCACGAGGGTGAAGCCAGACCCCACCAGTCAAGGCCAAGGTACTTTCCTCATATTTTAAGCGGACGACACTGGCTCCTCAGGTGTTGAACGGACGACCCGCATCGCATGTACTGGCACTGGAACGGACCACTAATTTCGTTGTTTCGGCGATGTGGTGGAGCCCACCATCTGGCTAATACTTCAGCGCCTCCAGGTACCTCTAGGTTAGCCTATCTCTCAAGACCTCCTAGATCCGTCCGACGAACTGTTTCACTGAAGGGATCTGCCGCATACCATTTCCCGCTATAGAACCCAACACCCTACCGTGTGCCGAGAACAGCATCCCAGGCGGCAGCCTCACATTCTCGATCCTGTTCATCATGGTGGAAACATTCAGCACGTCGATCGTCCCCTTGATCTTGACTCCCGACCCCATCATGCCGATATCCATGAACTGCGTCGCCACGAGATTGAGGACCTCAACGTTGACGATGGCCTCGTCCAAGAGCTTAGTGCAGTTCTCGTCGAAGTCGGCATTCGACCGTAGGGACGATATCACGATCCCCAGCGAGGCCAGGGGGGTCCTGACGTCATGGGCGGTGCTCATGCACATGGCCATCTTCATCTCGTTCATGCGCTCTTCCTCCTTGCTCATGTGCACCTTGCGTGCGTACATGTATGGGGAAGGTTTGGTGTGTGCTTCAGTGGGGGGGAAGCAAGGAGAGAGAGAGAGCGGGGGGGGGCAGGACAAAGATGCAATTTCCTGTCGTACGCGGGTGCTTTGGTGCTGAGGTCGACTGAACGGTTGCCTTCTTGCACCAGCACTCTTTGGGGGTTAAAAGCTGCGTCCGTTGTTGGTGAACCGACGACCTATTGAAGGCACGTACGTTCCAGTTGGTGCACGAAGAAATGCCAAAGATGTAATTTCGAGATCATTCGAGATCATGGCAACATCAACAGCCAGGTGACGGTTCTCGCGAAATTTTTCGTTTTCAGGTCAGAAAGGGTGCACCTGGTTAAACGCACAGCTTTAAGAGCGCCTACCACAAGACTCGTGCAAAAACACGTCGACATCTTGGGTTTATGAGTGCACCTCGGCCGTGGCATCGTAGGCGAAGACCGTCGTCCCTGAACTGGAATCTAATGGCGCAAGCTCTAGCTCTGACCAGTGCCTGCACCGGCATAAGAGAAGGAGCAGCAGCAGCAGCAGCAGCAGTGACAGCACCCAGACACCCGGGTGTGATGCAGGAGCCATGGGTCCTGAGTGAATTTCCAGCCACAGACTACACTGGGGGTAGGAGGGCGGAACAACATTGCAGAGTGCGATATGTACTGTGTGACGGTGAATGGGTTGAGCGTTTTGAGCAGCACCGATCGAAATACTCGATAGAGAGTAGATGCATCCCCGTAGGGACAAGAACGACAGAGAGCAAAGAGAGCGCTACACTCCGCAAAGGGTCCGACACTGTGCCTCTTCTTTTCAGGCGGTTCCGTGCATACATGCGCAAACGAGCGGGTGACCAACGGGCCCCCATCCAGCTCAGCTTGTTTGTTCGCATTCGTTTAGCGGGGCATGCACGACGTTCTACCGCGAACATGTAGAGCAGAGTTGACTTGCTGGGTTTGCTCATTGTGAAAGCATGTTACGCTTGCTGTTGAACATTTTCTCTAGGAGAACGAAGTTCCAAATTGTACCCGAAGTACCTCAAAGAAGGGGGGGACATTCTCCTGCACACTGCTTCCCCCCCCCCTACCTGCAAGTTCGTCCCCCCAGCAAACACTCACTTCTAAGTTCTCAACGCGTGAGAGCTCATCAATATTTTCGCCCTCATCAGCAATGTTGGATCATGATACTTCGGATACCTCGTGTCACGCGAATGGAGCAGCTACAAAACCAACCACAGGCTGGGCTTTCACCAACACTCGGGAGAGGTCAGGGCTGGACATCGGTCTCGCCGGTGTTACTGTAAGGTCGGCTTCGGGCTGTGGGCAGGTGGTGTCAACAAACGATCTCGAAGGCCAGCCAACCGACGTGTAAGCAGAGTTGACTTGCTGGGTTTGCTCATTGTGAAAGCATGTTACGCTTGCTGTTGAACATTTTCTCTAGGAGAACGAAGTTCCAAATTGTACCCGAAGTACCTCAAAGAAGGGGGGGACATTCTCCTGCACACTGCTTCCCCCCCCCCAACCTGCAAGTTCGTCCCCCCAGCAAACACTCACTTCTAAGTTCTCAACGCGTGAGAGCTCATCAATATTTTCGCCCTCATCAGCAATGTTGGATCATGATACTTCGGATACCTCGTGTCACGCGAATGGAGCAGCTACAAAACCAACCACAGGCTGGGCTTTCACCAACACTCGGGAGAGGTCAGGGCTAGCCATCGGTCTCGCCGGTGTTACTGTAAGGTCGGCTTCGGGTTGTGGGCAGGTGGTGTCAACAAACGATCTCGAAGGCCAGCCAACCGACGTGTGTTGTGGTGTGCTGCTGCAAGGCGTTGAAAATGACCATCCGCTGAGAGACTGTTCGCGTTTTCTTCTCGCCGGTTTTTGATTGCGTGGGGGTATTTTGGGCCGCGCCACCGTTGTTGCCTCTTGCTGTGTGCTTCGCGGCATCCACCACCCGGTCCCACCACGTTTGTGAACGACATTGCATGACTGGATACCCCGACAAAAGTAGCTAAGCTAGACTATTTCGGCTTCACGACAGGTCTCATGAAACCCTACAACGCGCTAACATACTCTACCCAATCATCACACGATTCGAGCCCTGTGGGGCGAGATCCAACCGATGCATACGAAAAAGAAAGTAAGAAAATAATACTGTACTTGGTGGGCAAAACTGGTGGTACCGGAAACACTCGCACCGACAGTGCCGCCACTAATGCACTTCTTGGACCTCTTGTTTTTGCTACAGGATCGTGCTTTGTTGGCTGCCTCAGACGGAGCACCTGTTCTTTGTCCCACCGCTTTTGCCGATCTAATTGCCACTTTCATTCTTTTTTTTTGCAACGGCTCCACACAGGACTACGACTTACTTTCTTTGGTGGTTGCAGAGCATGTAGATGCGCCGCCAAAAAGTTTGTATTCGCTACGATGTGTCGCCGCATGCGTACGAGACAGAAGTAGCTCCCGTATCCAGACGTAAGAAGGCGATAGGGCGCCCTGAACAAAGCATAGCCCATAGCCTTCGGGATCTGTCTCGTTCCCAAAACTTTCGAGGGGGTACCATCGAGTATCATGGACCAACCCTAAATCTCCTTGATTGACCCAAAAGAGTCGCGATGGGCGTCAGAGCCCTCCTAGATCTGCCTACACGAGTTATAGTTATAGCGCCGGTCGTGGCGTGTCGTCCACGTGCTCTGCCGTAATCGAATCGAGCGAAGCCAGCCGGTCTCCCACCGCATCCGGGTCTCCAAGTAGCTGTAGTTTCCAACGGGAGCTTCGCGTTTCACATGTGGATCTTGCTCGAGCTGGACAAGGTAGACTTACAGGCGGCGGGTGTACTGCTGAGTGATTCGCCCCCGATCACACCAACCCATGCCCCAGTCCAACGAGTGCACCATCATGCAGTATCGAAATGTCAACAGCTGCGGGATTAGACTCATCGTCCCGGTCCATTCTGTTGCCTTCGCCCAAATACCCCACCTCGTCATTCTGACCGTGGTACGTTTCAGCATGGTGGATGGGGGAGGTATCGTAAATCACGCCAAGAAGCTCCAAACAACAACAACAACAACAACAACAACAACAACGAGGAGGTTAAGGCTCGGGTGAGAGCAGAATTTTCCGTGAATTCCTTCGCCGCTGGAGTCGCCGTCATGTGTCTCTTCTCCGCGATAGTCTCCCTGGCCCCCACCCCTTGGCCCTTGTCGCCACCCCCAGCACCTTCCTGGTCATCATGACCCTCACACGACTCGCTGCCAGTCTCTGAAGCTCCCTCGTTGTCGCTGCCGTGTCAAGGGTCCATAAAGGTGTGTAAACCCCTCCAAACGTGGTCCAAGCGTCGCCTGAATAGTAGTCCTCGGCCTTCACCGTGCCACGCGTTCGAAAAGGCAATAACGGTGTAGCCCTGGCGATTGTCGACCTTTCCCGTGGCTGCCCCGAAGCATTCCGTGATCAACACCCGCCAGTCAGACGCTGTCAACGCGTTGCTTTCCAACTTGCCGACATTGTCCGACTGCCCGGGGCAAACACCCAGTTGCCACCCAACCTCTGAAAACCTCTACGTTAGCCCTAGACGCAATCTTGGACTTACCCTATGGGAAAGGGTATTCGATATACTCGTAGCATAGTATGATGGTTGAGATGTTATGTACGTACGTACGAATATTGCAGTGATGAGATGCGGAGGAACAGGAACTTTCTACATATTTTCCTTGGTTGTGAGAGGCTTTTGGTGAGGATTCAGAGAGATTCGTTGTGTGAGAAAGCATGAAGGCGTGACTCGATACCGTGATGGTTTGACGAGCACGAGCACGCCCCCGA